TCTAGGAGGCTCCGGTGAGTTTTCCAGGATACTACTTAGCTGTCCAAAACCCCTGGCACCCGCTACCCTCTGTAACTTAAGCCTCCGCCCACCGCCGTCCGGGGGCTGGGAGTCTCGGCTCCACTCCCACCCGGGAGGGACAAGGTCTTCGCTTCAGGCAACATGACTCACCTGCCGGGTCATAAGAGATTTGATTTTTTGCATGTCGAAGTCGAGAGACGATTACCCGGCAGCAGAGACGTAACAAATCACACAAGACCACCAGATAGCCGGCTACAACACAGGGAAGCCATAGTGAGTAGTCACGTGAAGCTTCACGCCTGGGTCAGCCTTCCTTTTCTTGAGCACTCTGGGAAGTGTAGTCTTCCGGCTGCTATCAAAGCAGGGGGACCCGCTTGAGTACTACATTTCCCAAGAAGCAACGCTTCAATGAACTGAGACACTTGCTGGTCCAAGTCACCACCTAGACTTGGGAAAGCCTAGGGGAGACAGATATGTAGGACTTAAGTGGTCTGGCCATTGAGCTAAACAAACTCTGAGGAGACTGTGCACAGTCCAGTCTTAAAAGACGCCCTCTAGGAGTGTGAGAGAAATCATACCTGGGCTGGAGGGGCGAGGTGTGAGACCGACCTCCCTAAAGAGCAGTGCGACAGGTGACCAAGAACGTGGAATTTCCAAGTGGCTCTGGGCGTGCCCTGAGGAAAGTGGGAGGCAGGAGCCCTAAGACGCTGATTGCCAGCCGTGGGTTCTTCTTCATTCTTGGCGTTTCTGTAAAAGCCCTCGTCTAGTCCCCACCTGTCGTTTTCTACCTGCTTTAGCAAAGGCAAGCCTTGACAGACACCAGTCATTGTGAGAGCGTGTGTCGCTTAAAAATCCTGTTCTCATCACAGGTGGCACAAAGGAGAAAGCAACAGGGGAACTTTGGTGACTCGATTTTTAAAAGACCTCAAACTATGAGGCTGTGAGGCAGCAAACCCAGAGCTAATAGTAATAGATAACAATGAAAATGTACGAATTGGGAGAAACTCTGCTAATGGCTTCATGTGCAGCACCACATTTATCTGCATGAGCATCTTTTTCTTCTTTATTATTACAATTTTTTTCATACAACATTTTCTAATCAGGTTTCCCCTTCCCCAACTCATCCTAGATCTGCCCCATCCAACTCCATTCACTTTCTCTCTCCAGAAAACAAAACATGCAAACAAACAAACAAAACAGAATTAAAAAAAAAAAGAAAGAAAGAAAGAAAGAAAGAAAGAAAGAAAGAAAGAAAGAAAGAAA